GGGATATCATTGCTGATGTCGGATGGGTCCTGACTGAAAGCAGAGAATACCAGAAAGATGTTTACCTGTGTTTTGTTGCCTGTGCAAAAGCATTTGACTGTGTGGCTCATAACAAATCTGTCTTGGAAGAAGTACAGCCAGGAAGCTTCTGAGAAGCGAGGATGACGAGGCTTCATCTCGCATACTTTGAACATGTTATCAGGAGGGACCAGTCCCTGGAGAAGGACATCAAGCTTGGTAGAGGGTTGGCAAAAAAAGAGGAAGACCCTCAACAAAGTGGATTGACACAGTGGTTGCAACAATGGGCTTAAGCATAACAATGGTCAAGAGGATGGCACAGGACTGGGCAGTGTTTCGTTCTGTTGTACATAGGGTTGCTATGAGTCAGAACCGCCACAATGACACCTAACAACTTCCTCCCTCAGATAGGAATCTTTATCTTTGCAGGCCAAATTTCTTTCCTTCTCCCTTTCTTTCTTCCTCTCCCCCACCTCTGATGGAGATGGTATGTTCCGTCCTTTTCATCTTACCATGCCATTTTTTTCATCTTATTCAAGCTTTGACAGCCCTGTGAAGAGATTGTGTTTGTTTTGATATATGGGGGTGATTTCTGGACTCTGAGTTACAGTGTCAAGTCTGGATAGCCCATGTCCCTGTTTTTGTAGCCTTGAGGGGATGGAGGGTTGGGAGAGCCACGCGTATGAGCAGACAGTATTGTTAGAGTACCTTCTGACCGTGTGTGAACATTGTGTACTAGTGTTTCCTCCGTCTGACTCAGGGTGGGCATGTAGGGTGAGGGAGGAATGACTCTCTCAGCCTTTCCTTCCTCCTGTGCTGTGTGGAGCCCAAACCCTGCAGTTACGCCAGAGTCAGTACAGGGAATCACCCAAATGACTGTACAGTGGACACAGCAGTTAAGAGCAGAGAATGCTGAAAATATACTTTAAAGATTCTCTGAAATGTAATGGTAATAAATATGCCATAATTGGTAGTTTTCTGGATACCAGAGCCTGAAGTCCAGTTACAATGAGCCTGATTAAGAGTAAGACAATACAGAACAGCAAAAGACTAAATAAATGGGACCTCATAAAAATTGAAAACTTTTGTTCATCATAAGACATTACCAAAAAAGTAAAAAGACAAGTTACCAACTGGGAGAATATCATTGGAAACTGTATATCCAATAAGAATCTAATAACCAAAATATAGATAAAACTTTGACAACTTAACAAAGAGACAACTCATCCAAAAAAACGGGCAAAGGACTGGAATAGATACTTCACCAAAAAGGACATTCAGGTGACCACTGTCTTAGGCTGGGTTCTCTAGAGAAGCAAAACCAGTAAAGCATATAAATATATATGCAGAGAGAGATTTATATCAAAGAAATCAAGGCTGGAACGTCCCAAGTCCTTGGATCAGGATAAAGGCTTCCCCTGATTCACAGAGCCACAGGGGCCTGCAAACCCAAGATTGGCAGGTTGGAAAGAAGGGCTCTTGGTCACAGGCTGTGAAGATCGATGAATCCCAAGATCGGCAGGCAAGACTGCAAGGCTTCTCTGGTTTCATGTAGCTGCGGGGGCTGGCGAACCCAAGAGCAGTAGGTTGGAGAGCAGGGCTTTTGCTCACAGGCTGTGAAGATTGATGAATCTCAAGATTGGCAGGCAAGACTGCAGGTAAGCTGCTAGCTCAAGTCCCAAGAACTAGAGGTCAGAAGAACAGGAACCAGCTGCAGGATCCAGAGTAGGCAAAAGCCAGAACATCCACTTATATTCACATGCAGGCCACATGCCCAAGGAAACTTCCTTTCAACTGATTGGCTACTCACAGCAGATCCCATCATGGGGGTGATCACATATCAGATCTCAGCAGGGAAGTGATCACAACATTATACAACTGCCAAAACACTGAGAATCGTGGCCCAGCCAAGCTGACACACAGTCTTAACCATTACAACCACCAAACACATGAAAGGATGCTCAGCATCATCAGCCATCAGAGAGAGATGCAAATCAAAACCACAGTGAGCTACCATTTCACTCCCACTAGGATGGCTAAGATAAAAAACAAAACAAAACAAAATAACAGATGTTGATGAAAATGTGGGGAAATTGGAACCCTTACCCATTGCTGATGGGAATGCAAAATGGTACAACTGTTATGGAAAAGAGTGGCAGTTCCTCATAAAACTAAAAACAGAACTATCATGTGACCCAGCAATTCCACTCCTAGGAATATACCCAAGGGACTTGAATGCATCAATACAAACAGACATATGTACACTAGTGTTCACTGCAACATTGTTCACAATAGCCGATAGGTGGAAACAACCTAAATGCCCATCAGCAGATGAATGGATAAACAAAATGTGGTACATATATACAATGGAATACTACTCAGCCAGTAAGAGAAATGAAATTTTGATACATGACACAGCGTGGATGGAGCTTGAAGACATCATGAAGAGTGAAATAAGTCAATCACAAAAGGGCAAATATTGTATGACCTCACTTATAGAAAAAGACAAGAACAGGCAAATATATAGAGACCAAAGTTTATTAGTGATTACCAGGGACAGGAGGGAGGGGAAAAGGGGGGCTTATTGCTATGGAGCACTGAGGTTTGGTTTACATTGATCGGAAAATCATTGATTAAGGGTAGGATTGCACAGCCAGTTAATGAAATTGCTGTCAATAAGTTCTACACCTGTAAAAAGTTGAATTGGCAAAAGTTGTATGATAGATATATTTATAACAATGACAACAAAAAGAGCAGCTGCTGAGCCTGGTTATATATAACCAAACATCTCATGGGATTTGGTTTCTTGGTTTGGAGGTTTAGGGGCATAGTTTCATGGTACATCCCAGTTAATTGGCCTAATATCCTGTTTAGTGCTTCTGTTCTACCTCCTAGTTCATTGCATAGTGCCTGGGGTCTTAAAAGCTTGCAGGTGGCCTTCTGAGGGCACGACAATTGGTCTCTATTCTCCTGGAGCAACAGAAAGAAGGAGAGTCAGGATTAGGAGGAGGATATGGAATACAGAATGTGTGGCTAATTTCCTTTGTGAACAGTGGCCTCTTTTGCCATGAGACCAGAAGAACTGGATGGTGCCCAGCTACCATTACTGAACATTTTGATTAAAGATTCTATAGAAGAATCCTGATCAAAAGGGGGAAAATGCAGAACAGAATTTCAAATGCTCATGGACTCCAGACTTTCTAGAGGTATAGAGGCTGGATGAACCCTGAAACTATTGCCTTGAGATAGTCTTTAAATAAAATATCCCCTGAAGTCTTCTTAAAACCAAACAATAGTGTAGCTTAACTAGTAAAGAATGTCTTCCTTGAGTATTATGCTCCTTTAAGATCTACCTATATGGGATCAAACTGATAACAGCAACCCGTAAGATAGGAAATGTAGGGGGCAGTGAGTTTATGTTAATTGGGGAGGAGCAGTTTGGAAAAAAGGTGAGAATGGTTGCACAACGTGAAGTGTGTAATACATGCCACTGAATAGTACATGTAGAAGTTGTTGAATTGGTGTACATTCTCCTGTGTATATTCTGAACAACGGCAAAAAAAAATTAAAAAGAGTGACGCAGTACAGTGACTAGAAGAACTTGTTACATGACACAAGAGGAATGCAAGCAGTAACCTCCAATCTGCGGGACTTATGTTTGGTTCCTTTAGCAAAAGGATTACAAGGGAAAAAAGAGACGGGGGAAACCTATAGACTAGGAGAGAGTTAAGACATAACAACAGCCAGTTGTCAGATATGGGCCTTTTCTGGATCTTCATTCAAACATATTTGCTGAGGCAATGTTGGAAATATTGGGGAAAAAAATAAACAATGACTGGATATTTGTTGAGATTAAGAAATTGATTTTCATATTTAAAGGGTGGAATAATGGTATTATGGTCATGTTAGAAGAAAGTCCTTATCTTCTAGAGGTACGTCCTGAAACACTTATAAATGAAATCTATAATACCCAGGATTTCCTTCAGAGTAACCCAGAGGTGGGGTTATAGATAAAACAAGTTGGATTTGGCTTAGAATTTGAGTTACTGTTAAAATGGAAAAATACAGATACTGGTGGAATTGATTAATGTTTTTCTGCGCTGTCAAGTAGATTCTGACTCATAGTGACCCCACATGACAGAATAGAACTGCCCCGTAGGGTTTCCTACAAAAGCAGATCACCAGGTGTTTTCTTCCATGGAGCCCCCAGGTGGGTTCAGACCACCGACCTTTCGGCTAGCCGCCGAGCGCTTAATCATTGTGCCACCAGGACTCCAGACATGCATTCAGTTATTTACTAATGCTAACATCTGGGGATATAATGATGAATAAGACGGAGTCCCTGCTCTCAGCAAGCTGACATTCTGGAACCTGGAGGGATTTACAGAGGAGGACAGTAAACAAACATGAACACATTAATGGGGGATACGTGCAATGCTGAAAATAAAACAATGTCATGTGACAGTGAGTGGTGGGAGGGTCATCAGGGAGGAGCATATCGAGGACATGCCACTCATCCTCAGAGCAGAAGGCGCTCAGTGTGTACTTGTGGAGTTTAAGCCGACATCTTGAACGTCAAGGAGGAGCCAGGCCGGTGAAGACCTGGTCAGATTCAGATAGGGAAACAGCTCATGCAAATGCCCTGTGGTAGGAGCGAACTTGGCATGCTGGAGGGGCAGAAAGAAGGTTTAGTGAGGTTGGAGTGTTATAAGGAAGTTGGTGACAGGGTGGGGACTGTCAGGCGACAGGGGTTCCAGAAAGCACAGTGCTGTGCTCCTGTCAGAAGGTAGTGTTTATTACCTTGTATTGAGTTTGGGAAGAATGCCCTGGTTTTATATTTGTTTTTTTCAGTCAGCCTATTGCTTATTAGTATGGTGTATTTTGGCAGGGGAGGCCTCCAGAGATGGTGAGTCAGTACCTGAATTTAAGTTGAAACCAGGCAGAGGAAGACTTAACGCATCTGTTGTTCTCCCCATTTTCAGTGCCATTTTTGTGACAAGGCTTTTATGAACCAAGCTTTTCTACAAAGTCATATTCAGCGCCGCCATCCTGAAGATTCTCACCTTGGTAAGTGATGAGCTGTATTTCAAAAAATTGTTGTTTTTTTTTTATTGATATCTTTATCTTTTTAAAATGAAGCACAGTCCAGTGCATTTCTCGAACCTGTTTAAAGAAGGTGGCATGCTGCTTGTTCATTCATCAAGTAAATGTGGAGCCCTACTATGTACCATACACTGTACTACGGGCAAGGGACACAGCAGCAAACAAAACTGACAAAGTCCTGCTCTCTGGAGTTTTACATGCTAGTAGGAAGGATGGAGGAGGCTCACTTAAAGAATTAAATGAATAATTCTTCCCAACTTGTGGAAAACGCAGTGAAGCAGGGGAAGGGGATGGAGAGGGACTCGAGGTGGTCAGCCAAGGCGTCTCTGAGAAGGTGATATTTGGTCAGAGACCTGAGTGATTAGGTGGTCCCAAACCCATTGCCATCAAGTTGATTCTGACTCATAGCTACCCTATAAGACAGACTAGAACTTCCCCATAGGGTTTCCAAGGAGCACCTGGTAGATTTGAACTGCCAACCTTTTGCTTAGCAGCCAAGCTCTTAACCACTATGCCACCAAGGCTCTAGACAGTCCCAGCCTTGTGAAAATGTGGGGAAAGAATATCCCAGCCAAGGAGGACAGTAATTGTAAGGACTGTGTGGGGAGAGGCATACTTGTTGAGTATGTGTAGTTGAGGAAGAGGAAGATTGGTGGAGCAGCGTGAACACTGTGGTTGTGTGTGATGAGGTTGGAGGGATAGGGACCAGATCACATAGGGTCTTACAGGCCCCGGACAAGAATGTAGATGCTTTTATAAGTGTAATAGGAATCCACTAGACTGAAGACTAGATGGTAGGGGCAACAGTGGAAGGAGATGGGGGAGTGAGGAGGCTTCCCCAGTCATCTAGGCAAGAGAAGATGGCAGCCTGGGCCAGGTGGAACCAGGGAGGATGGAGAGAAGTGGAGATGTGGAGGATATGCTGCAGACACAGAGCTCACAGAGATGTGACTCAGCATGAGAGGAAGAGATGAAACACAGGCAAGCCTGGGTTTTTGTCCTATACGTTTGGGGAGAATGGAGGTAATATTTACTGAGATAGGGTGGGAAGCAGATTGGGGGCATGGAGGAGAAGCAGAATCCAGAGTTTGTTCTGGCGGTGCGTCAGTTTGAGTCAAACATACAATAGATTTGTAGGTGGAGGTGTTAGACACTTAGAGCTCAGGGTAGAAGCCCAGGCTGAACATCCACATTTAGAGTCGTTGGAGTAAAGGTGAGGTGGATGGAATCACCTAGATAGCGAAGGGAAGGTAGTTGAGGACCAGCCCCGAGGCCCTTCAACGCTTGGAACTCAGGAGGAGCGGTGGAGAAGGGTAAGAAATAGCAGTTAGCAAGGGAAACTGGGACCATGTGCTGTCATGGAAACCAAGGGAAAAGCCATGTTTCAAGAGTGAGGCAACGGTCAGTTGTATCGAATATTTCTGAGGCACAGGGTAAGATGAAGACCAACAGTTGACCATTGGGTTTGTCAGGATAGTTGTTGGTGACTCTAATCTGGCAGCTTCAGTGGGTTGATGGGGACAAAAGCCCAATAAAAGTGAGCTGAGCTGAGCTGAGAATCTAGTGAGAAAGTGGTCATATCAGACGTAGACATTTAGTTCAGTAACTTTTGTTGGGAAGCATGGCAGAGACCCAAGCCATCATTTGGAGGGAGATGTGGGACCCAGTGACATCGTTTGCTTTGTTTTATGTGGGAGATATTAAAGACTCGTTGGTGTACTGATGGGAATTAACCAGGATACAGAAGCAGACATTGAAGAAGCGAGAGAGGAAGGGATTTCTGTATCATACTTGGGAACCAGATTTCCTCCTATTTAACTATTCTCAAAATGCAAGGTCTGTTTTTTCATAAGAAGATCCAAGCTTTCTTCAGATTGCCTAGTAACCCACAGAAATTCTAATTATGCTCTTAATTGTGGTGAAGTCTCTAGATGTGTGTACTTCTTGCTTATTGCCCAGTGCCTGCTTTCCCCTCTGTTTTGGGCCAGTCTCTTTCCATTCCTGCCCATTTCAGGTAAATAGACTTATTTAGAAAATAGCTAAGCTTGGTATACTTATAAGCCATGGACCAGTGACACAGTTGAGCAATATATTGGAAAACTTAGGAAGATGAAATATTTTAATTAACCTAACATTCTTCAGTGTGAAACTGACCTTCTTTCTCTTCTGTTTCAGTATCTTATTCTGTCTCATACTCATTTCAGAGAACATTTCAGTCTCTGAAATGAGTATTATTTCTTCAGGTCATCTTTGAGATTCTGACTTTCTACTTTGGTTTCCATACCTTTCATGTCTACACTCACAGACACATGTATATCCATTCAGTCATGTGTACATCTGCATGTAAGTACATGTACATAAGTATTTTTCTCTTCACTTGTTGCTTCCTTTTACAACTTTTCAGTACCTTGGTCTTGCCCTAGGTAGCGTTTTGAATGCTAGCCCTTTGCCTGTCTTAGCAGGGTTCACTGACAGGGTTCCCAGCACAGCTCGGTGGGAACCAGAAGGATGGTCACCACAGGGATTTCAACATGGCGGTACTTGCAGTGGAAGCTGTTGCTTCTCTTCTCTGATTGAGACAGCCATCTCTAAGAAGAGGGCAGACTGCCACTGTGTCCAGGCAGCCACGATTATCCCTTGTCACCATTATTGCTCCCAGAACGGGGCTCTATCACACTGTCTCCGTAGGGATAATCCAACCTCAATACCGTGGCTGAAAGAATCTCCTAAAAAATAATCCAATGCCCAATGATAGGCAGGGCCCCCAATAAACATTACAGAGTAAAAGTCGGCTCGTGTGGCATGAAAAGAAAGTGGCTAATAGCCCAAGTCAGAGCAGTTTCCTTTCTCTTATCAATAGAACCGTACCCCATTAAGGTTTCAGATAATGTTGCATGAGAAATGGTGTTGTAACAAGATATTTCCGTTGCAACAGAGTATAAGAAAAAGGCTCAGACCGATAAGCTCCAGGGTGAGATCGACATATTGAAGGAGCAGCTGCAGCTCACCAAGTCCCAGCTGGAGGCAGCCCAGCATGCCCAGGCAGTCAGACTCTCTAAGGTATGGTGCCAAATCCTGGACCTGTGCTACGGTCCATTCTCGTTACTCGTGGTAGTTATGTTGTATAAAAGGAGCGCAGGTGGCACAAATGCTTAAGTGCTCGGTTGCCACCCAAAAGATTGGTGTTTCAAACCCACCCAGTGGCTCTGCAGGAGAAAAACCTGGCAGTCTGCTCCCATAAAGATTACAGCCTAGGAAACCCCATGGGGCAGTTCTCCTCTGTCACATGGGTTCGCTAAGAGCTGAAAATCAGCTGGACGGCACCCAACAACATATTGTATAAAATCCCTGAAAACATTGTTAATGGATACGAACCAACCTGTGCATCTGGCAGCTCAAAGTTTTCACCGCGAACATCTGCGAAAGCACTGCAGATAGTGATTTCGGGGTTACAGATACATTTTAGCAAGGAGGCAAACTTGGAAATTGCAGAATTTGTGAATCCTGAGGACCTACTGTGTTGTAATTTCAGTGATCTGTATGTGGTTAAACTGTGGCATGGACTCTAATAAACAGAGGACACTTTGGGGTTTGTGGAGCTCAACAAAATGTAACTATACTGCCAGGCGACTCTTCAGTATCTTAACCAGCCAGGCACATCACTGGAAATACGGTTCTACTCTGTTTTTGAAGGTTTAAAATGTAATAGTGCAGTTTACTTCAATGATGCAAAAGGATATGTTGCTATCAAAAAACTTTTACCTGAACTGCCTTGCCTACAGAGAGAATGTCACAACAAACTTGGTTCTTCATCGCAGCCCCTGCCGGCCACTGCAGATGTCCACTTCTTTGCTCACTTGTCGCTTCGATGTTCCTCACGTTTATAAGTTAGCTGCTTTTCCATCTCAGAATTCCTCTCCTGGCCCTGAGATACCTCAGCACGGAAGTACCTTTCCATTTTTTATATTCTCCAGATAGCACTTGCTTGCTTTTTTTTTTTTTGAATAGTTTTAGGTGAAAGTTTGCAGTGCAAATTAGTTTCTCATTCAAAAATTTATATACAGATTGTTTTGTGACATTGGTTGCAATCCCCACAACCTGTCAGCATTCTCCCTGTGCTTTTTTTTTAAGTCGATGTAATTCACATGCCATAAAATCCACCTTTTTAAAGTGCACAATTGAGTGGTTTTTAGTATATTCACAAGGTTGTGCAGTCATCACCACTAATTCCAGAACAGTTTTATCACCCCAAAAAGAAACCCTGAACCCAATAACAGTCACTCCGCCCAGTCCCATTCTGTTTGGACGTTTCATTAGCATTGGGTTTTAAGCGTGACCTGATGAGTGATCTCAGCTCCAGCTCCTGGAGCCTTACTGTGTGCCTGGCACTGCCCTGAATGCCTTCCATGTGTTGGCTCATTTAGTCTCCATAGCAAATCTCAAAGGAAGATACTGTTGTCCCATTGCACAAATGATAAAAAAGGGGTATGGGAGCTAACTTGTTCAAGTCATGCAGTTGATAAATGGAAGAGCCAGGATTTGAACCCAGGCAGCCTGCGTTGTTGACCGCTGTGCCCTGATATTAATGCCTAACAACGAAGCAACTTTTATTGGAGTGCTAGAACCCGACAGATGGATGTTTTTTTTTTTTAAAGAGCTCTATTGTTATAGGTGAGAAATCAACTACTGGTCAGCCAGACCTTGAATCTAGCCCATACAAATCTGAATTTGTATTTTTTGGCTGGTGGAATGGGGCTACTTGTTGTTGTTAGCTGCTGTTGAGCCGATTCTGACACATGGTGAACCCATGTGTGCAGAGGAGAACTGTGCTCCATAGGGTTTTCAAGGCTGTGACTTTTTGGAAGATCACCAGGCCTGTCTTCCAAGGTGCCACTGGGTTCAAACCGCCAACCTTTTGGCTGATGTCGAGCACTTGACCATTTGCGTCACCCAAGGGCTGCTGGAATGGGGCTACCCTACGCAAATTGATAGTGTCAAGAGGGATTCTTGTAATGTTTAACTGATGTTTTCTTTTAAAAAGTAGGTTTAAATTTTACATATTACTGCTTGTCTACAATACAAGTTCATAGAATATAGAGAGCATGAGGCCTTGGGCCTCCGTGTTGTGTTTCAAGGAATCAAGGACAATGCAAGGATGCTTCGTGCTGCCTTGGCTGCACGTATTATTGTGCACAGACCTGCCATTGTGTGACATGTTGTTAGAGACCTAACGGAAGTAAGCAATACTAGCTAATGCATTGGAAGGGAAGCTGTGACCACTTAATTAAAATTTTGCATGTTTGCTTGTCATGAATTTTAAAACCATGTGTTAAAATAATTTCAGGAATATGAAATGCAGAGATCAAAAGAGGAAGAATTTCTGAAGTTATTTGATAGATGGAAAGAAGAAGAAAAGGAAAAGCTAGTTGGTGAAATGGAAAAAGTCAAGGAGATGTTTATGAAGGAGTTTAAGGAGTTAACTACTAAGAATTCAGCATTAGAATATGTAAGTATTAACCTAGAAATTCTCATAGTATTACTAGAGTGCAGTACTGCCTTGGGAGGTGGTGTTAGAATGGCATGGGGGCCAGAGGACCCAGAAGTTCCTTTATTGTCCCTTGGCCTAGAAACCCTTCCTTCCTGTGAGCTGTGAAGGGAGCACAACGCATACAGAGGAGGGAGCAAGTCAGAGTGGGCGTGGTGTTGAGAGCAGGCGCCGTGGCACCAAACCCCAGTGCAGCACACTCGTAGGATGCATTTGGTCGGATCACAGAGCGTCCTTCTTACCATAACTGGTTAGGTTTAAAACCAAAAACCCAAACCCATTGCCATCGAGTTGATTCTGACTCATAGTGACCCTATAGAACAGAGTAGAACCGCCCCATAGGGCTTCCAAGGAGCGGCTGGTGGATTTGAACTGCCGACCTTTTTTTGGTTTTAATTTTATTTTGTACTTTAAGTGAAAGTTTACGTTTCAAGTTAGTCTCTCATACAAAAATTTATACATACGTTGTTATGTGACCCTAATTGCTCTCCCTATACTATGACAGCACACTCTCCTTTCCACCCGTGATTTCCCATGTCCATTCAACCAGCTGCTGACCCTCTCTGCGTTCTCATCACACCTCTGGACAGGAGCTGCCATTTAGTTTCATCTATCTACTGCCTGTAGCCCAGATCTTTTCCTGAACTCACACCATGACGCCTTCTCAAAGTGGCGTGCCAAATTACCCACAGAGGTAGATTTTGATACTAAACAGTTTAAGGCCGGCTCCCTAAGTCTTCCCCAGCAAAGCCATACCTACTCCCTCTGTAGTCAGCTGAGAAGCACACTCCTCACGAGTATCATTTTATGTCCAATAGTTCAGTGTAATCTTTGTCTGAAGAGTTGGCCTCGGGAATGGTTTTATTTCTGTGTTGACAGAGAGTTTGCGGGCCATGCTTTCTGGGGTTCCTCCAGTCTCAGACCATTAAGTCTGGTCTTTTTATCTGAGTTTGAGTTCTGCACCCTGCTTTTCTCCTGCACCATCCGGGACTCTCTGTTGTGTGCCCTGTCAGGGTGGTCTTTGGTAGTAGCCAGGCACCATCTAGCTCTTCTGGTCTCAGGCTGATGCAGTCTCTGGTTTATCTGGCCCTTTCTATCTCTTGGGCTAATACTGTTTTTCCTTGTGACTTTGGTGTTCTTTGTTCTCCTTTACTCCAGGCGGATTGGAACCAATTGATGCATCTTAGACAGCCACTCGCTAGCTTTTAAGACCCCAGACGCCACTCACCAAAATAGGATGGAGTTGCCAACCTTTTGGTTAGCAGCCGTTGCTCTTAACAACTGTGCCACCAGGGTTTCTGGTTAGGTGTAGATAGCCTTAAACAATAAACCCCTCCCTGGGCTTCGGAACCTACCACTGTCGTGGCTGTAAAGGCTGACCCAGAGCACCAGTGTGGGAGAAGGAAGCAGAAAACCTGAGTGAGAACCTTTGCCAGTCCCTTTCCTTGCCCCAGTCCTGGCTGGTGCGGGGGGCAGGGGGTCTAGAGAGAGCAGCACCTGGCTCATTGAGCCCACTGTCCTGTCCACACAGGCCACACTGTCCTTATCCATCTCCTGTCAGAAAGGCCAGTCATTGTTCTCCAGCTGACAGTTCACCTGAGCTCCCTGGGCAGGGTTGATCCTGAGTCATCCATGGGGAAAAAAACTATGGAAGGGAGGAGAGGAAAAATCCTTGAGCACCCTCTAGGGGCCACCAAGTTTTATTAACTCAAATGGAAGGCTATTTTTGGAATACTGCTAAGATCTTTCCCTAAAACTCTTTTAAACTCTGGTATAGGGGTCGCGACCTGTGGACCACATCTAGAATGCCACCCATTTTCGAATGGCCAATAGGCCAAGAATGGTTTTTACATTTTTAAATGGTTGAAAAAAAATTCAAAGAAGAGTATTTCACAACGTGTGAAAATTATATGTGTCCATAAGTGAGTCTCGGCATGTGTCAGTCAAGTCTTACTGAACACAGCCGTGCTCACTTGTTTATGTGCTGTCCACAGTGCTGCCGTGCCACCGTGATAGAGCTGAGTTGTCACAACAGAGATGGCATTGCATGCAAAGCCGAAAATATTTACCACCTGGCCCTTTCCAGGAAAAGTTTTCCGGCCCCTGTCATCTTTGCAAAGCAAATATACAATGTTAACAACTGGTGAAGGTGAAATGGGTGGTCATTGTACTACTCGTTCAACTTTTCCATAGTTTGAAATTTTCAAGTACAAAGCTGAAGGGAAGTAACTTTGGATGGCTCGTTGTCTCTTTGTAGAGCTTCCTTCAGCCAACTTCCTATTGGCTGCAAACCCGACCAAACCCAGTGCCAGCGAGTTGATTCCAACTCATAGCATCCCTATAGGACAGAGTAGCCGGCCCCATAGGGTTTCCAAGGCTATTATCTTTGTGGGAGCAGAGTGGCACATCTTGCTTCCACGGAGCAGCTGGTAGGTTCGAACCACCAACCTTTCCATTAGCAACCGAGTGCTTAACCACCGCGCCACCAGGGTTCATTGGCTCCTGTTGGCATGGTTATCCTCGTGTCACCCCTCTGTAGTACCTGTTCTTCTTTCTAAGCATCAGCACCTCTAAACAGTACTGTCTTTTACTGCCTGTAGCCCAGATCTTTTCCTGAACTCACACCATGACGCCTTCTCAAAGTGGCGTGCCAAATTACCCACAGAGGTAGATTTTGATACTAAACAGTTTAAGGCCGGCTCCCTAAGTCTTCCCCAGCAAAGCCATACCTACTCCCTCTGTAGTCAGCCACCAGTTACAATTCTTTTGCATGAGGTTCCCTCCGTGGTCCTGCCCCCTGCCCCCAGGCTAATTATAGAATAGGACTTGATTTCACAGCTTTATAACGCCTACCGTTTTTTTTTTTTAAGGCGCTGTATTGAGATTTAGTTCACATACAATATAGTGCACCCATTGAGAGTATACAATTCAGTGTTTTTAGTATATTCAGAAGGTTCTGCAGCCATCACCATAATCAATTTTGGAACATTTTCATTAGGTCATAAAGAAACCCCATAAGTTACCTGTCACTCCTATTTCCCCCTAAGCCCTCTAGCCCTGTTGTTGTTAGGTGCTGTGGAGTCGGCAGAACGAAACACTGCTTGGTCTTGCGCCATCCTCACAATCGTTGTTACGCTGGAGCCCATGTTGTAGCCACTGTGTCAGTCCATCTCGTTGAGAGTCTTCCTCTTTTTCACTGACCCTCTACTTTACCAAGCATGATGTCCTTCTCCAGGGACTGATCCCCTAGTATGTGAGACATAGTCTCGCCATCCTTGCTTCTTAAGGAGCATTCTGGTTGTACTTCTTCCAGGACAGGTTTGTTCGTTCTTCTGGCAGTCCACGGTATATTCAATATTCTTCTCCAACACCACAATTCAAAGGCGTCAATTCTTCTTCCATCTTTCTTATTCATTGTCCAGCTTTTGCATGCATATGAGGCAATTGAAAACACCATGGCTTGGGTCAGGTGCATGTTAGTCTTCAAGGTGACATCTTTGCTTTTCAACACTCCTCCAGCCCTAAGTAACCCAAATCTACTTTCTGTCTGTACGGATTTGCCTCTTCTGGACATTTTACATAAATGGAATCATACAGTATGTGGTCTTCTGTGACTGGCTTCTTTCACTCAGCATAATGTTTTCAGGGTTCATTCATGTTGTAGCGTGTATCAGTACTTCATTCTTCTCTACGGCTGAGTAATATTCCATTGTATAGATATACCACGTTTTGTTTGTCCATCATTCCAGTCATTACTTTTTGGCTACAGAAGTTTACTCTTTTTTTAAAATTAATTAGACTTTATTTTTTAAAACAGTTCTAGATTTACAGAAGAATTAAGCAGATAGTACAAAGAATTCCCATATGACTCCCCCACCCCACACAATTTCCCCTATTATTACCGTCTTAGAGTAGTATAGAACTTTTATTACAATTAGTGAACAGATATTGGTATACTATTATTAACTGAAGTGCGTACTTTATTTAGATTCCTTGGTTTTTACATCATGTTCCAGGATCCTACCCAGGATTCCACATTACATTCAGTTGTCATGTCTCCTTAGTCTCCTTTTGACTGTGACAGTTTCTCAGACTGTCCTTGTTTTTGATGATCTTTATAATTTTGAGGATTAATGGTTAGGTGTATTGTAGGATGCCCTTATGTTGGAATTTGTGTGATGTTTTTCTCATGATTAGACTGGGTTTATGGGCTTTTGGGTGGAAGATCATACAGCTAAAGTGCCATTTTCATCATGTTATATCAAGGGTACACACTGTCAACATGATTTATGATCGTTGATGTTGACCTTGATCACCTGGCTGAGGAAGTATTTGCCAGGCTTCTCCTCTTCCCCCCTTTCCACATTGTATTCTTTGGAAGGAAGTCAGTATTTGTAGCTCATACTTAAAGAGCAGGGAGTTACGCTCCTCCATCCTGTTGTTTTTTTAAGTTAACGTACTACACCTCTGTGGGTTTTTTTACCACCAGTAACTTTGGAAATAAAGGAGCGGTGGTGGTTCAGGATTGAATCCTTGCCTTCCATGTCGGAGACCTGGGTTCCATTTCTGGCCAGTCCACCTCATGCACAGCCACCACCCATCTGTCAGTGGAGGCTTGCAAGTTGCTTGCATGTTGGTGAACAGGTTTCAGCAGAGCTTCCAGAACTAGGAGGAGAGGCCTGATGATCCACTTCCAAGAATCAGCCAATGAAAACCGTGTGGATCACAATGATCCAATCCATACCTGATGATGGGGATGGCTCGGGACCGGGCAGTGTTGTGCCTGGGGTTGCCATGAGCTGGGGACTGACTCCATGGCAGCTAGCAACAACAACAGACTTTGGAAATAACAAGCAAAGGGTAAAATGAAACATTGTGACCCAAATGGACTACTGATGCGGTGTTGGCCTCTTCAGTAAATTACCTTATTTTCACTTGGGAACCAGCTGCGCCCAATTCCTCTGTTTCTGACTGCTGGTACTTGCCCATCAAACGTTTGAAGACACGTTGTCTAAGATTAGGAAGTTCAGTTTTCCTTCCGTTGTTTTCACCGTGTACAGTTTCAGTTAGAAAGACCAACAAGTACCAGGAACAAAACAAGAAAACCGCTGGGAAGGAGAAGTAGAGAAGCAAAATGAGCTTTCGATAGGATAGTCAGATTTAAGATATGGTTACAAGCTCCCTAATTTTATTTTCTGTATCAGTCTTCTGAAAGTATAAACATTTGTATCTGTGATTTTGAATTTTATCTTATAGCAATTGTTAGAAATACAGAAGTCCAATATGCAGATCAAGTCCAACATAGGCACGTTGAAAGATGCCCATGAGTTTAAAGAAGACCGTCCTCAGCATCCCCAGGATTTCCAAAATGTGATGCAACTTCTTGATAGTCAGGTATGTAAAATTGGGTAGCAACTGTAGTAGATGCCTTGATTCTTCTTAATGAAGTAATTTATAGGAAGCATCGTTTGCAGAGAAAAGCATTCTCTTCACGTGACCATGATGATGACTAGTTCATTTCATTTGTTTGTTTCCCAATACATGTGAAATTCATAATAGATGTTCAGTAAATGCTTGTTGATTGACTGATAGAAGTGTATAGAGAGTTCTGTCTTCATATTAACAGTTGGAAAAACTGTTTCATTGTTTTTCTGACATAATGTCTATTTGAATTGGTTAGTATTACCATAGTCTTTATTTTTCATACTTCAGATGTAGCTCTCACTGTCAAAAGGCATAAAGAGGCGTATGGAAGCTCTGATTTGATTTTAAGAGCTTAAATATACAGCTCTATTGGCAAACTGATAATCTTTTACCTTTATCAAACATAATTAAAGGCATTTGGAAGTCAACCCCTGGAATAAGCACGATCTTCATCGTGGCTATTTTACTGGAACAAATTTTTACTAGGAAACAAAGATGAAAGCTTATAAATTTTTAAAAATAGGTAAGCATATGCCATTTAAAAAGGCAAGTGTGCTTTTGAAATGTGGAGTATTGCCACTGCTTCTTAACTTGCCTTGCTTCTCACCTTCCTCCCCCAAATCCACCTTCTACATTGCAGCCAGGCTGACCATGCCACTGTCCTGCTTAAAATCCTTTAGTGATCCCCATGTGTCACAGACTGAATTATGTCCCCCCAAAAATGTGTGTATCAATTTGGTTAGGCCATGATTCCCAGTATTGTGTGGTTGTCCTCCATTTTGTGATTGTAATTTTATGTTAAAGAGGATTAGGGTGGGATGGTAACACCCTTACTGAGGTCACATCCCTGATCCAGTGTAAAGGGAGTATCCCTGGGATGTGGCCTGCACCACCTTTTATCTTACAAGAGATAGAAGGAAACGGAAGCAAGCAGAGAGTGGGGACCTCATACCATCAAGAAAGCAGTGCCGGAACCAGAGCATGTCCTTTGGACCCGGGGTTCCTATGCGGAGATGCGGGAAGACTGATGACAAGGACCTTCCCCTAGAGACAACAGAGAGAAAAAGCCTTCCCCTGGAGCTGACACCCTGAATTTGGACATGTAGCGTACTGGACTGTGAGGGAATAAATTTCTCTTTATTAAAGCCATCCACTTGTGGTATTTTTGTTATAGCAGCACTTGATGACTAAGACACCATGTTTTACAGAATAAAGTCCAGAATCCTTAACCAGCACACAAGCCCCTTCAGGATCTGGATTTTGCATCATCTCCCACCATTGTTTGCCTTCACCTTGATACTCTAACAGTCCCGAGACAGCTGACGGTTCCCAGAACAGGGCATTCTGTTTTCTGCCTTTGCTTGTGCTGCTTTCCTAGCTTGCCACGCTCCTCCCAGTTTTCAGGGCCTGTCCCTTACTTAGTTTCTAGTACTCAGCTGGGATGGCACCTCTGCCAGGAAGCTATCCCTGATCCTCCGGGGTCCAGAGCAGGGACTGTTAATCCTCACCTACCCTGCCAGTGACTACCCACTGAGGTGCCTGGTACATGGTAGGGTACCAGGAATTGGGTGCTGAGCTGCACTGCAGACAGTTGCTCCTGGCAGGCCAGAGACCACAGTTTGTCACTTATGAATTGAAGGACACAGTTATGAAAACCTAAGGTCCCACCTAAATGTCTTCTCCTTCCTTCCTGTAAGTTGTGCCACTATTTCAGAACCCATGAACTCAGAAACCTTGGTGTTTCCTTTTAGCCCTTACAGTGTGGGCTGGCAAACTGGCACCTGTTTTTGTAAATAAAGTTTTATTGGAGCACAGCCACACCCATTGTTTATGTATTGTCTATAGCTGTTTTCCTGCTACCAGTAATTGTGACAAAGACCCTGTGGCTTCCAAAGCTTAAAACATTTATTATCTGGCCCTTTACAGAAAATGTTGGCTGACCCTTATCTTTAGAGTATAAGATTGAAACAAGTGCAAATGTGTCTAAACACTTTTAACTTTATATATTTTTTAAAATGCCAACTAAAACTTTACCAGATAGTTTGGTTTCGCTGGTACTATGATGCATGTCTTCTGACACCAACGCTAAAATGAATGAGTTCAGTTTTGCCCAATTCTGACTCTTAACTGTAGTGTCGTTGTCCTGACGTTAACCACGTGGAGTTAGGTCAGATCTCACATGTTAAAGGCACAGTCTTCCAGATCTTCCACATCTGACCAAGAGTTGAGATGCCAGCCACAAGTTCAGGGGTTCCCAGAACACCCACGCTTCTGACCTGCTGGCTACTCTTGAGTTCGATGATTTGCTGGAATGACTCACAGAACTCAGGAACGCATTATACTTATGATTACAGGTTTATTATAGCAAAAATGATACAAATGAAGAGATGCATAGGGCAAGATCTGGTAGGGTCCCAGATATAGAGCTTCTGTGTCCCCAGAGACATGTTGCTCTCTCAGTGCATTGATCCTTCTTACCAACCAGGAAGCTCACATGAGCTTTAGTGTCCAGAGTTTTCAGTGGGGTTTCCTTACATAGGCATGATCGTCTGGTACCATGTGGTGGGTCTTTCTGGCTTGGCCAGCCTCGCCTGGAGTCATCTTATTAGCATAAACTGTCATTTGTGATCTGGAACTTTCCATGAATAATAGAGATACTCCAATCACTAGGGAAATTCCAAGAATTTACAGGAGTCCCTGGGTGGTGCAAGCTCTCTTGGCTGCTAACTAAAAGGCTGGAGGCTCAAGTCCACCCATAGGTACCTTGGAAGAAAGGCCTGGCAATCTACTTCCAAAAAATCAGCCCCTATGAGTCGGAATCTACTTGATGGCAACTGGTTACCAGGGACAGAAGATCAAATTCTTTGAGTAAAATAATTCTTCACTAAAAAGGAAGCTTCCATAGATACTATTTTTATAGTTGCACAAAAGTTATCTTGTTTTACCGTTTTGTAGGAAAGCAAGTGGACAGCTCGAGTTCAAGCCCTTCATCAAGAACACAAGAAAGAAAAGGGCCGGGTAAGATTAAGAAATCAGTGGCTTTCAAGCAGGTCATCTTTGAAATGAATATTTACTCTTCTTTTTAGTAAAAGTAATATTTGTCCACTTAATAAAATTTGTGGAGAAACGATATGTAACAAAAATTAAAATTACTTATAATTCCAATACCCAGAGATAACCGCTGCTACTACTTTGGTATAGTTTCTTTGATTCTTTTTTTCTGTGCTATGTTGTCGTTGTGTGCCATCGAGTCAATTCTGACTCATAGTGACCCTATAGGACAGAGTAGAACTGCCTCATAGGGTTTCCAAGGCTGTAAATCTCTATGGAAGCAGAGTGCCACATCTTTCTCCTATGGAGTAGCTAGTGGGCTCGAACTGCCGACCATCTGTATATTTTCTTTAAAATGACATTTCTTAGTATAGCAACAAGCAGAGTGTTCATATGACAAAAGGCATATAATAGGTACGTAATATCTAGGATGAAGCCTATAGTCTTTGATCTTCATCACTAAGTGCTTCAAGTCCTCTTCACTTTCAGCAAACAAGGTTGTGTCATCTGCATAACACAGGTTTTTAATGAGTATTCCTCCAATCCTGATGCCGAGTTCTTCGTATAGTATGGAGACACCTCAACATAAAGAAAACAAAAATCCTCGCAAGTGGACCAATAAGCAACATCATGATAAATGAAGGAAGGATTGAAGTCATCAAGAATTTCATTTTACTTGAATCCACACTCAACACCCATGGAAGCAACAGTCAAGAAATCAAATGACACATTGCATTGGGCAAATCTGCTGAAAAAGACCTCTTTCACGTGTTAAAAACAAAGATGTCACTTTGAGGACAAAGGTGCTCCTACCCAAGCCATGGTGTTTTTAGTCTGCTCGTATGCATGCAAAAACTGCATGATGAATAAGGAAGACCAAAGAAGAATTAATGCCTTTGAGTTGTGGTGTTGGCAAAGAATATTGAATATACCATGGACTGCTAAAAGAACGAACAAATCTTGTCTTGGAAGAAAGTCAGCCAGAATGCTCCTTAGAAGTGAAGATGATGAGACTTCGTCTCACATATTTTGGACGTGTTATCAGGAGGGACCAGTCCCTAGAGAAGAACATCATGCTTGGCAAAGTGGAGGGTCAGCAAAAAAGAGGAAGACCCTCAAGGAGATGGATTGACACAGTGGCTGCAGCAATGGGCTCAGGCATAACAGCGATCATGAGGCTGGCACAGGATGGGGGAGGGTTTTGTTCTGTTGTACATAGGATTACTGTGAGTCGGAATCAACTCAGCAGCACCTAACAACAACAGCATCTAGGATGAAGAATATGCATATGACAACATTTATCAGCTTGTATTCCTCTTAAGCAGGAAAAATACTGAAGAAAAAGAGGAAACTTGTGAGCATTATCAGAACCAAACCAAAACAAAGCAAACAAAAAGTAAAAAATCAAAATACTCTGTAAAATACCTGCAGTTCTGATTAATCTAGATAGGAAAGTTAGTTATTAATCTAACTTTAAAATTGTACTATTACTAGAAAATTAAATAGGAGCCATGACATTTTTTCTGTTTCATTCACAATATTATTTGGTCATGTTAATGATTTATTGCATTTGTACCCAGATACACATATATACATGCTCATGCTCATATAGTAACTTATATAGATTGAAAACTCTATCACCAATTCAGTGATTCAACTCAGAGATATTTATTGGGCATCTCCTATGTACAGCACTGTATAGAGGCTAAAAATACATACAAAACATAATCCTTGCTCTCTGGTTGTTTGCAGGATAGCGAGAGAGTAGAAATGAGTATGCACATACCTGATGGAAGTCAGGACAAGATAAATGCAGAGTGGTGTAGTGATTGAAAAGAGAATTTGTTAAAGTGGGATTGTGGCTGTGTGTGGATAACACCCATGTTTATTTCTCCAGCCTAAGCCATCCCTCTGAGCTCCAGATGAAATAGCCAGCTTTATACTTGACACCTTCCTGGGCTTCTCAAACTTAACGTGTCTAAAATGAAGTTCTTGTGTTTGTTCCTAGATACGGTTTTCGTGTGGTAAATAACACCTAGTCCACTCAGTTGCACATCTTCCTTCATTCTCCTCCCTCTGTCCCTCAATCCCCAATTCCAGGCCATCAGCAGTTCCTGACATTTGTCTCATACCCATATTCTTTTGTATATTTCCATTGCTTCCACCCTTGACCAAGCTTCCATCATTTCTGGAAGGAAGATAGAGGGTCGGCGGAAAAAAGGCAGACCCTCAATGAGATGGAGTGACACAGTGGCTGCAACAGTGGGCTCAAACATAACAATGACTGTGAGGATGGCATAGGACTGGGCAGTGGTTTGTTTGTTGTACATGGGGTCGCTATGAGTCAGAACCCGCTCGACGGCACCTAACAACAACAATGACTGTGCTTCTCAATTCTGGCCTTCTCCTTTCCTAATCTGCTCTCCACACAGTGGGCAGAATAATCTGGCTGCTAGTAACCACTGTAGCCTCATCCTGATGTCCCTCCTAGCTAGGATAGCCTTCTGGTAATTCCTAGAACGCTGCAGCCTTTTTCTCTTCTTTATACGTGGTTTTCACTGCTGGGAGGCCCTTCCCCTTCCTTTTCACATGGCTTTCTCTTTCCCCTCTGTGTTAGTTTTCTGTGTGGTATGGCGAGTAACCACAGATTTAGTGGCTAAAAATCATGCACTTTGATGCAGTGAATCCCTTTTATATGGCCTTTTCTCGCCATGGTCTTGTGACTCCTACAAAATCATTGGGTGGGAATATGCAGATAAGGTGTTTGTGGCCCACCCAAAGGATTGGACAGCACTGCTAATAATGCAAATAAGGTGCATGGCACCCTTGTGGGAGTGGGACCATGCAAATAAAGTGTTTGGAACCCTAATGAGGGGATCGGTCAGTTTTGGCATCCCAGTAAGTTTAAAATGAGCCTTCCCAGACGCAGGAAAGGGGGAACCTCACTACATCAAGAAAAAAGAGCCGAGAGCGGGGCATGTCCTTTGGACGTTGGGCCCCTGTGCTGAGAACCTCCTAGTCCCAAGAGATGGAGAGAGAGGTGTAACACCATAGATGGCAAGAAGCAGTGGCAGAGAAATGGCAGCAACAGAACCAGCAGACTGGTGTGAGATGGTGCCAGCCCACGGATTGAGGCAGCTACGGGGGTTGTGCTGACCCATGGAGCTAGAGAGCTGAGACCCTCCGGCAGGAGGTTTGCTGGTGGAGAGGCATACCTCTGGGCATTTGGCAGAGCTAGTCTCGCTCACCCACAAAGCGAGAGGGCTGAGCGTCTTCAGGCAAGAAGCTTCCTGGAGGAGTAGAGTGCCTCCAGGTAGGTGTCAGCAGAGCTAAAGAGCTTTGTAACCCATGCCTGAGCAGGGCAGAGGCCAGACCAAGAGGAGCCTGCCCTCAGGGGACCTAGAGGAGCCTGTTCTCTGGAGGCTGAGTTCATGGGCCCAGGCCCAAGCAGGGGCTGGTGGCAGAGGCCTGCTTGTGGGCATGGCCTGAGAAGAAGCTGTCCTGATCGAAGAACTGAATTCTGAGTTGTAATCTATTACTTGCCTAATAAACCCCGTAATTGTGAGTATTGTCTATGAGTTCTGTGTGGCCATTGCAACGAAATATTCAACCCAGCAGAGAAGTAGAGAGTGCTGTGGGAGGGATGGCTGGTGTCAGAATTGGTGAAAAGGTTGGAGAGTAGAGATATGTCTGACCTCCACCTCTTAGGTATCAGCGTAGGGCTGATGTTCATCTTGATTCCCTCTCCTCCATCTTGTGAAGTTGGAGGAGGTCTGACCCCACTGCGCCGCCATTTTCTATACACATGTCATTTGTTATCTCAGTTTCCATGGGTTGGGGCTCCAGGCACAGCTCACCGGCTCCTCTGCTCAGGGTCTCATCAGGCTGCCTTCAAGGTGTCAGCCAGGCATGTTCTCATGTGGAGCTTGGGTCCTCTTCCAGGCTCACTCAGGGTGTTGGCGGTATTCAGTTCAGTCTTTGTGGTGGTTGGATCAAGGCCCTCAGTTCTTCAGGCCGCCCCTCTGTCTAGGAGTTCACAACCTGGCTGTTTGCTTCTTCAAGGCAGTAGGAGAGTCTCTCCTGCTTCCGGTCTGTCCCTCAGGAAAGGCCTGGACCTTCCTTCAAAGGGCCTGCCTGACCAGGTCAGACCCCCCCCCACGATAATTCCCTGTTTTACTACCTTAAAAAAAAAAACCCAAACCTGTTACTGTCAAGTCAATTCCAACTCATAGTGGCCCTATAGGACAGTGTAGAACTGCCCCATAGAGTTTCCAAGGAGTGGCTGGTGGATTTGAACTGCCAGCCTTTTGGTTAGCAGCCATAGCTCGTAACCACTATGCCACCAGGGTTTCCTTATTACCTCAAAGTAGGTAATGAAAGATTGGGGACTTCGATTGCATCTGCAGACTCCCTTCATTTTCCGCGTGTTGTACTGGTTAGCAGCATGCCACAGATTCCACTCCGCTCGGGGCTAGGATTATGCAGGACATGTACACCAGGAGGTGGAATCTTAGGGGCGATCTTCGAATTCCGCCGAACATCCTCCTGGCCGCCGCTTACTTGTCCCCTGAGACCAGTCCATCTATGTGGGTAGTGCCCCCGCTTTGTCATGCTCGTCACTTCACCCTCTAGCTCCCATCACTATTTTAGCTGATTTGCCTGTTTATTTATTTATCGTCTGTCTCCAACCAGCTCATTCGCCCTTTTTAGGGAAGGGCTGTTCTCCATTGTATCCCCAGCACCCAATAACTTGCCTAAAATGTGCTTAAACCAAAACCAAACCCACTGCCTTCGAGTTTATTACAACTCGTAGTGACCCTATAGGACAGAGTAGAACTGCCCCATAGGGCTTCCAAGGCTGTAAACCTGTATGGAAGCAGACCGCCAGATCTTTCTCCTGCTAAAATGTAGGTGGCACTTATTAAATACTTGCTGAATGAATGTGGAAGGTGGCTAGATATCTAAGAGGGAATCATTCGACCTGGCTTTTATAGATGGGGAAATGCTAATTGTAGAGTTCCGAAAAGTAGCATTGAGAGAGTTGCCTGTAGGTATTAGCACAGTCTGCTATGGGGAGGACACTACGTCTGTGTTTTCATCATGGACCCCAAGGAGCCTTTGCTCGAGGCAATGCCGTATGGTTAGGAAGAAGGTGATCACCTTTCAGCACGTTTTATCTGCAGCCAAGGAGCAGGATCCATGGAGCCCTGGATGGTGATTTTTCTGTACCACAGGCGTATCCACTATGCAAGAAGTGTTCTCTGTCGTCGCAGAAGTAAGCATGGACCAGTATTAACGCTCATGCTGCGGTGTGCCGGAGCTGGCCCACAGTGGCTCGCAAGGGCTGATTGTGCACATTGCTTCCCCGTCGGGCTTACTTTTTTTTTTTTCAAGCTTGTTAACCAGCATACCACTGGGTTCATTAAACTGGTTTTTATAGTCACCATTTATTTAATCCTTCTAAGAATTTTATGATGTAGGTACTCTTAATACTTCTCCCACGTGTCTGTCAGTTTGTTGTACTGTGGGGGCTTGTGTGTTGCTGTGATGCTAGAAGCACTTACTGATGAAGATCGAAGACGACAGCCTTCAGTATGGATTACACCTCAACATAAAGAAAACAAAAATCCTCACGACTGGACCAATAAGCAACATCATGATAAATAGACAAAAGATTGAAGTTATCAAGGATTTCATTTTACTTGGATCCCCAATCCAACACCCATGGAAGCAGCAGTCAAGAGATCAAAAGATGCATTGCATTGGGCAAATTTCTGCAAAAGACCTCTATAATGTTTTAAAAAGCAAAGATGTCACCTTGAAGACTAAAGTGCGCCTGACCCAAGCCATGGTGTTTTCAGTTGCCTCATATGCATACGAAAGCTGGACAGTGAATAACGAAGACTGAAGAAGAATTGACACTGTTGCATTGTGGCGCTGGGAAAGAATATTGAATATACCATGGACTGCCAAAAGAGCGAACAAATCTGTCTTGGGAGAAGTACAGCCAGAATGCTCCTTGGAAGCAGAGGTGGCAAGACTACATCTCACATACTTTGAACATGTTATCAGGAGGGACCAGTCCCTGGAGAAGGACGTCATTTTGCAACAATGAGCTCAATCATAACAACAATCATGAGGATGGTGCAGGACCAGGCAGTATTTCATTCTGTTGTACATAGGCTCACTATGAGTCGGAACCGACTTGACAGCACCTAACAATAGCTGTTAATACTTATTTTATAGATGAGAAAGCAGAGGCTTAGAAAGATGCTGTCTTGCCCAAACAAGGAGCCCAGGTTAAGTACTCAGCTACTAACCAGCAAGTTGGCAGTTCGAACCCGTCAAGTAGCTCTGCAGGAGAAAGACCTGGTGATCTGCTTCCATAAAGATTACAGCTTAGGAAACCCTATGGGGCAGTTCTACTCTGTCACATCGGAGTCGACTCGATGGCACACAACAACACCATCAAGTCACTGGTACTTGAATCTAGGCTCCCTTAACCCCAGGGCCCATGCCTTGTAACTGTTTCACTGTCTTGCTCGGCTGTTAGGGTTCAGCCACTAAGCCAGGTCCGTTAAGTAGTCCGCCAGGAGGAGAGTAGGCGGTGAGAACTTAGAGTGGTTGCTTTTTGTTTGTTTAGAGCGGTGGTTTTTCTGTAAGACCATTGAATCTTTCCTTTGAGATGTTTTAAGGCAGCAGTTGCTAACCAGCGATGCACTTCAGAATTACTTGAGAATCTTTTCCAAAAGATTGCCCAGGCTTTACTCCCTGAGATTTTGATTTAGTAGGTAAGCCTGGGACGTGTGTATTTTTGGGGAAAAAAAACAAAACAGAAACAAAAAAAAAAACTCCAGACAATTCTAATTTGAACCCATGTTTTTAACCATTGCTCTTAAATAATTTAATGTCAAGTTATTTATTCTTCGAGGCATCGAATGCTTATAGCAGCTTTAATTTTTTTTATTGTGGTAAAATACTTATCACAGAAGTCTGCCGTTCCCCTCATTTGTCTGTGTACAGCCCTGTGATGTTAATCACTTTCCTTGTGTTGTGCAACCATCACCACTATCTGTTTCCAAATTTTTTCTTCACATAATGACCCTGTAGGACAGAGGAGACCTGCCCGTTAGGGTGGCCAAGGGGCGGCCGGTGGATCCCGGATGCCAGCCTTTTCATTAGCAGCCTGAGCTCTTAACCGCTCTGCCACCAGGGCTCCTTTTTCATCACAGTAGAGGTGGTTTTCACTCCTTGCCTCTTTAAAGCGCTCCATGTTCCAGCCAGTTGTGGGGATTACAGTGGCCTTTTGCCTGAGACAGAGTGTGAGTTGCAGGGTTTTACACTTGACCACTGCAGTGTGTGACAGAGAGGGACGGTCGGCATTACGGAGGGAGGAGGTAAGGCTTTTCCTGGTTATGAGTGAGGTGACTCGACCCGAGTATTTGGAGTATGGGAGTTTCTGTGCCGCCGCTAGGCTACGCTGCTTCCTTGTCTGTTGGTTTAGCTTGTTTAGAAGCTGCTTGCTTCTCCCTTCATTTCTTCTCCAACCCTAACAGGGGAAAAAGACAATCAGGTTTAGTCATCTCTGCCTGAGACCAAACTATTAATTATTCCACATGATTGGAGTTTACTGTTCTTACAATGCACATATTGTATTTCTCTGTTTAAGGGAAGTTATGTTTGCCAGCTTTTTATTGCTTTACCTGGATTCTTGGCAGTCGTTTTTTTTTTTTTTAAATAACCATTGGTAGGCATTCAAAGGGAGTGACAGATAGGTGATGGCATGCCCTTTTGACCCAACAAAAGACTCTTTAGAGTTTGGGAGGCTGGAGAATGGTCACATAATTTAAGGAAGGAGGCTGACGGGACGAGGACTAGTAGGAAAAAGCGTCGAACTTGGAATGGTAGGAGGTTATGAAAAACAGCCTCAGGGGTCACGAGCTTTTTGAAATAATTCGTGGTTGTCCCCTTCTTAGTTGCCACCATCCTCTCTTAGTGAACTTTTTCATGTACCTTTCTGGTCAATTCTTAATTCCAATATCAAAATCAGCCATACTCTCAGTTTTCTCTATGTCCCCGTTCTTTTTGGGCCCTGGAATGACTCCCCGTAGTGTTGATCAGGCCCTAGGTCCTAAATCCCCACTGAAACACTAGAACCTGCAGTGGCTTTTCCTTCCGTTTTCGAGCTCAGCAGTTCCCTAATGGTGCTTCTGGGGGCACTCTTCCAGGGGGTAGTAATAAATGCAGTCTGTAAAAGTGCTTTTGTGGCTAATTAAGGTTGGGGAAGTTCACGACAGTGTCCTTTGGCCATTGTTAGCACGTGTCCCCACTCAGGAAACCTTTCTGACTCGGTTGAACCCAGTGCTGGTCCAGCCTCATGAGCACCACATTCACAGAAAAACAGTTGTTGTCGAGTCAGCTTCGACTCATACCGACCCCACGTGTGTCAGTAGAACTGTGCTCCATAGGGTTTTCCAATAGCTGATTTTTTGGAGGTAAATCGCTAGGCCTGTCTTCCGAGGCGCATGTAGGTGGACTTGAACTTGCAACGATTTGGTTAGCAGTGAGTGCATTAGCTGTTTGCTCCACCCACGGGCTGCCTCATAGCACAGAGCACTTTGTTTGGCCCGACCACGGGAGACAGTGCAATGTGCTGGTTGAGAGTCAGCCTGGGCTTTGAAGTCAGAATGATGAAGTCTGGGCTCTGCTCCCTCCCACTGTCTGCATTTGGGCCAGTTACTGTACCTCCCTCATCTGTATAATGGGGCCATAACATGTATCCACAAGGGTGTGGCGTGGATTAAACGAGATGAAGTGCTTAACATAGTGTCCAGCACACGGTGAGCGTTGATATAAAGGAATAAACAAGTTAGGAAATCTGTCTAGATGCTGTCAGCTACTTCCCTCACAACTACCCCCCCCCCACTTCATATCCCTGTCTCCTCTTCCAGGTCTTATGCTTGGAATGTCCTTAACACCAGTCACCAAACTTGTTTTCCCACCCGTTTAAGCAACTACTGAAATGCTTTTGAGAATCCCTAAATGGTGGAAAACAAATTCTTTTTGGATTCTTTTTGTCTAATCTATGATCTTCTCAGGCATCAAGTCTCTGAAGATGAGTCTGTGTGACTCTGAGTCTCTGTCTGTTTCCCTCCCTCCCCCTCCCTCTGCCTATTCCTTCTTTCCTCCCTCCTCCTTAAGCCCTCTCCACACTTTCCTTTCTTAGTAAATATTTACTGAGAACCTGCTCAGGGCCAGGGATTGTGCTAGTTGCTAGGGATATAAAGATAATGGAGATGCAGTCTCTGCCCCCAGGGATGCCCACTTGAGCCAGAGACATGTGTAGGGTAGAACTGCATGGGAGTTCAGTGATGGAGACATGGGCAAAGGGCTGTGGGAGCATGAGGTCAGAGAAGCCTTCATCCTTTATCATTCCGTAGCCGTCTGTTGTTTCACATAATGTGATCAAGTTCGCTCGACCACTCACATCATCAGCGCGTCTGTCTTGGGTCACGAGCCCCCTAGAAACAGATGAAGCACCTCATACACCCAGAGGCTTGGTTCACAGTGATCAAAGCTACCTTCAATGATTGGATGTGCGCGGATACTATAAAGGCGGCGAAGAAAGCAGGGTATGCGCGTTCAAAGCTGCAGAATGAAGACATTTTACACGCAGTTCACAGAGGGATGTGTTCCTTACATTTTTTTCAGCTCCTGTCACATATAGAGAAACTTCGGACCTCAATGATAGATGATCTAAATGCAAGTAATGTTTTCTACAAGAAGAGGATAGAAGAGCTAGGGCAAAGACTCCAGGAACAGAATGAGCTGATTATTACCCAGAGACGGCAGGTGTGTCTGGTTCTATATCGGCACTGTGCTGTTTTAAACAACGTAATTTCTTTAAGAATATATGTTTTTATTTCAGAGCATTTTTGAGTTGTGTAAGATAAAGAAGATGAAGTACGCTCCCCCATAATTGCTTGTAAAAGTGAATCCAATAAAGTAAACTTTAAAAAAAAACGTATTTAAAAATGCAGTAGAGCAGATTTATTCATCTCGAATTCAGAATAAATTTGAATGTAGATGAGAATTTCTTGTGGTAATTGCTTTTGAAAAGCAGCCAAATCCAAATATTGCCTTCATGAAATGTGTGTCTCCATGTCTTTAAAGTCCATGTGTCTTGTGCCTTTGGAGGATTTAGTGAAAAGGTTAATTTACTCAGTACAGTTATCTGCCCATTACCCAGTATTTCTATATTGGTTTCAAGTGTGTATCGCTACAAGAGTGTTTTTCTTTGCAGATTAAGGAGTTTACCAGTAAACCATTAAACAGTGTCAGTGAACCCAAAGGTAAGTGGACCGATCTCACAGGGCTGGAGGCACAGCATGCCTTCCTGACTATGTGCTGGGGGCATCAGAAGAATGTGGGGCCATATGTCTGCTAAGAGGGCATTTTCTCCTGATATTTTAATTTGGGAGATCAGTCCTCCTGCTGTTTTAATTTGGGAGCTCTGTTACCAGAATCTAGAAAGCTGAAGGATTTTAATTATCTGTACTATCGTTTAATGATTCCGTATGTCTGTATTTTACCTTAGAATACTGTTATGCACATAATACATGCTGAGTAACTATGTATCTGTTGATCGATGTACTGTAGGACAGCGTTAAGATTAAAAACACAGGGTTTAGAGAACGGCTGGGTTCAGCTCCCATGACCAGCACTTTGTAGCTTGGTGAGTCCCTGACTCTGTTTCCTCATCTCTGTAGTAGGAATATTAATAGTAAGTACATCATAGACTTGTTATGAGGATCGAGTGAGATAACCCTCGTAAAGTATACCTGTTAAACACTTATTATTGTTAGCTGTTATTATTGATGGAGTGCTTGTGGCGTAGTAGTTAAGAGCTTGGCTGCTAACCAGAAGGTCAGCAGTTTGAATCCACCAGCCACTCCTTGGAAACCCTATGGGGCAGTTCTACTCCGTTCTGTAGGGTTGCTGTAAGTCGGAACCAACTCAATGGCACCTAACAACATTATTATCGATAGTAAAGCTGTTAATTATTCTAAGATACTATAAAGACTTGCCATGTTATTCTTAATTGTAGTATCTTGAAGGTTAAAAGTTCATTTTAAACATTAAAAAAACATCAAACCCATTGCTGTCAAGTCCATTCTGGCTCATGGCGTTGCCATGAGTTTTATACATGGTGCGGGGTATGTATGCAGTCTACAGACTAAAGCAGTAACAGCCCATTCCTCGTATCATTTGAAGAGCTGACTAGAAGTGAGAATGGGAGTCAGAAGGGAGATTGGCAGACAGCAATGAGGGTTTCCTGTCACAGTCTGAAAGCATGCCTTCTCTGCCTGATCTCCTTCTGAGTGATCCCAGTCTCGGTGAGTTCCTGCAAGTCTCAGGTGTTATAAAGAGTCTTCCTTTACTTGAGGAACTCCAACCAGGGCTTGTCACTGGTTGTATGAGCTGGGTTTCCTCACTGTTTCTGGAGGCCACGGGAGACGCAGTGATCTTCATGGTTTGAGATAAAGGGTTGGGGAAGGGCCGAGTTCCCCTTTAACTTCTCTTTAGGTAGTGAGAATTCAGATAAGCAAGGGTGCACCTCTGTAATTACTTAAATATCATAAATATTTGGCTGAAAAGTAATTTTAGGAAAAATTTAGCTTTAAAAGGATTTACATTAACTGTCTTTACTCTGTTGGCTGAGTTGCTATGTATTGGTAAATTTCATTTATTGTTTTCTGGGGGAAAATACATTAGGATAAGGGCTGTCAAAATTTAGTTCATAGCTTGTGATTTTTGTTATTAACTAGTTTTTTTTGTTATTTCAGGGAATCCTTTAACCTGGCAAAGTTTTGAATCTAAGCCAACTGCCCCAGCTGTACCTAGTAAGTTTCTATAACAGGCTCATCTTCTAAAGATATCTTTAAAATGCTAGACCAAGACATCATTTTTAAAGACCTTTCTTTGAGAACCCATTTATTTGGAGATTACATAATTAATTTTGATTCCTGGTTTTGACCTAGTCCTGAGCCCCACAATTGTAAACATCCACGTGATTTTGTGGAGATTTTGGTCAGCCGCACCTATTGTTTTGTTTCAGTCTAATAAAGAGATGACTAAAAATTCTTGGGCACGCATGCTCAGGTTTACATGGTTGGACTTCCGAGAGTTCTACCCTGTGACCGTGGGAGTCTGTGTGGTACGTGTCATATTTGGCATCCCTGGGCCTCTCATTGCTGCAGGTGGTGAGCAGATGTCTGTTTGCTGCCCAATTGTGGGCAGCTCAGCATGTTCGTCCCCCAGAGCTGTCAGGATTTGGCAGTACACCAGAAAACCAGAATCTTTACAGTTTAGAAACTGACAGATTTTTTTTTATAAAATAATAATTAGTTTAAATATTATTATTTTCAGTCAAGAAAGTGTAACGGAGAGAAGAAGCGTGAGTGGTGGGCGTAAGGGATCAGGCAATTGTGGGCCAGAGAGAACAGTTAGACACAAGCCGTGTGAACTGGGATCTAATGTATTAGAGGGGGCCTGAGCTGGGGGTGAGGGAAATGGCACCATAAACATGGGCCCAGAAATAGTGAGAGGTCTGTGGAGTGATGAAAGATCATTAATGAGCACGTTTGGGAGTTTGGCACAATTGACGGTCAAACGTAGATGGTTTTAGTTGCTCAGTCTTCTCTGGTGCTTCTTAAGGCCACTTGATGTTGGAAGCTGAAGCGGTCCAGAGGAGAGGGGAGCGAACGGGCGGTTACTTGCTCAGAGTAGCGGGAAGAGCAGAAACTGGACTTCCATCTTAGGAAATAAAAAAAGAATTCAGTAAAAAATCGCATTACCAAGAAAAATGGAAAGGTTAAAAGACACTAAATTATTTAAACAAAACAACTTTATAAGCCGATTAAACTCAAATATCAAGCAGAAAAAATAACCCAAACAACCAAAGCTATATTTGGTTAGGTCAGTGGCCTCCAAATAGTGTTTAGACCCCCTGGGGCTTGCAGGCTGATCTACTGGGATATGAAAATGAAACTATTAGAGCTTCTTTTTATATATTTTTTAAAGAGTCATCCTTTTAATGTTTTTAATTTTTATTATGTTTTACAACATACATAATATTTGTACTATACTATATAAAATTTATTTAAATGAATATGTATGTAACAGGGTAAGGTACTACTTAAGAACTTTTACTGATCGGGTCATATGGTCAAAAGAATTTGGACGTCAGTGGACTCTGGAGAATTCACAGAAAGAACAGGCCTTTAGCTGCGTACTTAGGGGCCCCTCACAGGTAGCACCTTTGGGTTTCATGATGACTAGGCAAGAAAGGGTAGCTGGCTCATCCCCAGTTCTTCTCCCAGTGTGGAAAAGGGTCTTAAAGCCAGGGTTCTAATAATGGCAGGGAAATGCTCTTCACTTAAAAGAAAATGCACACACTCTAAGATCAGAAAAATTCAAATCACAACATTAAAGACAACTTAGGAGATATAAAACAAATGAATCAGAACCATCCCCAGCAAAATGAAGGCTTTCTGACGTAAGCTATATACGGGCAAACCTGTCAACCCCACCAATTTATATTATTGGCAGTGTAGACACTAGTTAGTCATTTCAGAACTTACATGCTACCCATCCATAATAAGGTAATAAATTTTGTAGTTTACGAAGAAGGCCTGGATGTGATCGATTTTAATGAGATTGGAGCTTTTGAGTCTGTAAATTGGAATACTGTCTAGATCAGAGCTAGATAGTGAATTTTCTGCATATTTTATTCTATAGAGAACGAGATAGTGAGTATTTTCGGCTTTGTGGTCCGTATGGTCTTTTTTTTTTTTTAAACTACTCACCTCAGCTGTTGTTGTCGCACAAAATCAGCCATAGACCATACATAAATGAATGAATGTGGCTGTGTGCCAGTAAAACTTTATTTAAAAAAACAGGCAGTGGGCTGATTCATCCCATAGGCTATATAGTTTGCCAAACCCTGATCCAGATTATACAAGTTACAAACAGGTTTGAAGACCATATTTCCAGAATTATTAGCAACTTGCAAATAGTTAGGAGTTGAACAATTTCACCGTTAGCCTTTGTAAAGACCAAAAACATGCCTTTGGAGGTAGCTGAGGCTTTTGGCCAGTATTGTTAAGAATAGGATTTGAATTAAAGATCTGTCTTAATAAGCTTGAGGAAGAGTCCGTAAACTAATAGACAAGTGTTGTTTAGTGAAAACAGACTGTACAAATAAATAGTCTAGAGAGGAACTCCAGGCAAAAATTGTCAACTATTGGAAGGGAGGCTGTGGAATCTCATTCTCTGGAGATCTTTTAAAATAGTGTTTACTTTCACTCCAGTCAGATGCACTTCTCTCTAAAGGCTACAGCTGAAATAGTGCCCTAGCAAGATGCCTTCCAGCCCAATAATTGGAGTATTTTTTTTTTTTTAATTGTACTTCAGGTGAAGGCTTACAGAACAAATAGTTTCTCAGGAAACGGTAGTGCGCGTATTGTTTTATGACATTGGTTAACAACCCCACAACATATTAACCCTCTAAATTCTCAACTTTTTTTTTTTTTTTTTTTTGGTGAAAATACACATAGCCAAAGATA